TCATCATCATCATCATCATCATCATCATCATCATCATCATCATCATCATCATCGTCGTCATCATCATCATCAGGTGCAATGAGCAATCAGAGTTGTGGGAAACAAAATCTTGTTTTCTCATTTAATAGAAGCAGTGGTAATTACGGTTCCATTATTCAGGAAGAAACAAAGTCGTTTCAAGGTGAAATATGCTGGTCTTTCAAGTTGGTCGGTATGATTATGGTTGTCTGTTGCCTTCACACTGAGTCATTATTGAAAGTAAATCGGCTTCTCCCAACGGACATTTGCGCCGTTTAACAGATGACGATCCGAATTCTACCCTCCTGAAGAACATGTAGCTTAGTGACCGGTGGTGACGCGGGTGGGGGGCGTCAGCGTCGTATTCACTTGACTTGGAAGGTCGACTGAATAGTGGATTATGTCCCCTGCAGATCCTATCGGCGAAGGAGGCCACGGTCGATTTTGTGGCGAACGAGCACATCCTCCCAGGTAGCGTGGTTTACGCCGACGCGTGTCAGGCAACTTGTTCGCTCACGACGCAGTCGCTAGGAGTGCGTGCAGGTCGTCGTACAATTCGTTCTTTACGGCATCAGATCTGGCTATTAGGAGTTGAGTTCTGGCGGAGATGGTTTTTTTGTGAAAATTGTCACTTACTTCTTAAAACAGAACGGAAAAGTGGTTTTTTCAATCCTATGCGGATCAAGCTTCCTACTTGATTCCCTATGTGCAAAATATTTTGAGATTTTTCTAGAAAACGGACTTGGCACTATCAAAAGTTGGTTTTTTAAATCAGTATTGCTTGGTTCTCGTTGACTACATTTTTATTGGTGGTTTTGCCATGGCTTTTATGTAGTCCTTTGTCAAAGTGTTTCGATTCAACACGAAACGTATGTGCTGGGTGAAAAGTTACACCTTATATATGTCTTTATGCAAATATTCACTATGCATTATGTGAAGGGGTGGCATATAGTGCCATTAAGCTTCCAATCTCCCATTCCGGGGTTTCCAAATATTAACAAGCAATCAGTTTGCCCCGCCGACAAAGAAGGTATCCAACGAAATGATTCATTCTGGCTTTTTGCAGTTATCAACCTTACGTAGACGCATCTTTGGTTTCGACGCCATTTCAGACTGCACTTTTTCCTGTGTTACCGCCTGAGCAACCAGGCTCAATTTGCGTTGGTCGATTCTAGCGATACCTACGGTGTGCCGCACGTCGGTGGTGACGCAGAGACAGAAACCTACATGCAAGATAGTGATAGCAAACTTTCGCGGCACCTATGGCACTTCAAAAGAAGAGGAGGCGTTCACCGGGAGAGGTGTATTTGAGGTCTGACGTTTCGGGTAGTCGTTTCTTCTACCCATCTTCAGAGACTGAGCAGTCGTGCACACAGCTTTCCTTTTATGGCGCACTTTGTTTAATGCCTGGCCCACCAATGCCGCCTGTTAAGCTGCATTCGACCCGCATGTCACCGTGACCTGAATCCCGCCCATCTTCGTCGGCCGCGGTGATAACTGGCGGCCCCGATTGCCCCGCGCCGTGACTGTCCCCCGTCAAGAATGTTCGTAAAACCAGATAAGGGGGAGGCAAATTGATGTGGCGGTTGACAGAACAGTCGGTAGACATCCAGGCTTCTTGCACCTGCCTTGCCGTATGATCATCACCTCGGCCCACAATTTCAACGGCGTCAACGTTGAAGATGTGTCCCATTTGCGCGGCATGGGTTGCTACCTCCGACTTTGGGTCCAACCTTCGCACGGCCAACTTATGCTCGTGCATGCGTGTTTGTAGCCGCCGGCCGGTTTCCCCCAACGTAGTTACACATTCCGCAGCTGCACAGAAGTCGGTAGACCACAGACGACATCTCCTGTTTAGGGATCGGGTCTTTTGGCCGCATCCCTTGCCGGCGGATTGTGGAGTCGGGCCTGTGGGCAACGCCTATTCCGAGCGGCGCGAGGGATCTGGCTACGGCTTCGGAGACCCCTTTCATGTATGGAATGCTCCGCCACGATTTTGGCTGACTAGGTTCTTCATTCCGCTTCCTTGGTTGTTTTCGGCTCCGTTCAACGAATGTTCGCGGATAGCTGATGGCTCTGAAGAGTTCTTGGAGGAGCTTCATCTCGTCCAGTTTTGCGACTGGAGTGCTGCAATGAGTTTCCACCCGTCGGTATAGCGTGCGTACACAGCTTCGTTTGTGTTGCAGTGGGTGGTTGCTGCTGTAATTGAGCATTTGCAGCGTGTTCATCGGTTTTCTGTAGACAGACGTCGCCAGTTTACTGTCTGGTTGGCGGCAGATGAGAACATCCAAAAATGAAAGTTTGCTCTCCACTTCTTCTTCCATCGTGAACTGTAGGTCGGGGATGATTGAGTTCAATAGTTCTTCATAGTAGCTAATTTTATCCTGATTGATGATTACGAAGGTATCATCAACGTAGCGCGCCCAAAACGTGGCTTTGTATTCCCCGAACAGTCGTTTCTCGAGTTTTTGCAGAACGGCCTCGGCAATTAGTCCGGAGATCGGTGAACCCATCGGAGTGCCCTTAATTTGCTCATAGGTGATCCCCTCGAAGGTAAAAAATTTCTTGAGGCAGTGCCCCATGAGTTCTATGAGATCCTGAGCTGTGGGCAGGCCATCGCCCTCGTCGTAATTCTGACGAAGCAGGCCACTGAGCGTCTCGACCGCAAGGGCCTGTGGTATGAACGTGAAGAGTGAGACGACGTCAAATGACACCATCCTCTCATCCGGTTCGATCGTGTCGAGGAATTGCTCTGCTGAGTGTACCGTTGTTTCTGAGCCCGCGGTTAGGAATCTTAGCTTCTAAAACAGCCAATTTGCGAGCCCGTACGTGGGTGTGCCTCGGAGTGAGACGATTGGTCGGAGGGGAACATCTGGCCTGTGTACCTTTGGATGAACGTAGAATCTCACCATCGGTGTTTCTGTGGGCTTTGCCATATACCATTCTTTGATAGTGATGACTTTTTCCTTCTTTAATCGAGACAGAACTCCGTTAACCTTCGCCAGTAGGGACTTTAGACTGACGGCATCGCTAACCATGCAGGATTCCCGGTCGTTGAGGAGCATGAGCGCTTTATTTCGGTAATCCACCTTGTCAAGGATAACGGTTGATCGGCCTTTGTCTGCAGGCAGAATAAATATTTCTGTGTCCGCTTTCAACTCCCTTATGGCCTTTTTTCATCTCTTAGCAGCGAATGGGTTTTTCGGTGTGACATGAGAAGTGAAGAGACTCGACGTCGGAGGAGGTCTTTTGCCTCGTCTGTGGCGCCGGTTTAACGTAGCACAGATTCGAAAGAAGCAATGAATGTGACCGGTTCGACGACAGTTGTGTTAAAACCAGATCCACGTTGTAGAACTTTTGTTTGGGCCACAGTAAGATTTTTCGACGAGAGGTTGTGTACTAACGTTTGTTCAGGTTCCCGGGATTGTGCTGTCTGCAGGGCCATGAACTTTACCGATAAATCAGCATCCCTGTTAGCACGTTTCTTTCGTCCCAATGATATTACGGTGTTCTCCAATGTAATGGCGGTCGCTTCACGACAACGGCGTGTAACAAGCATCCTGAAGTTGTCGGCATTGTGTGCGTATTTCCTAAGTCGTACAGTGCGTGACCTATCTCATGAAATGTTGGCTGAAATTCTGAAATACGTTTTCGATTAGGAAGGATTACTTGGTCGCGGTTGTGATACTGATTAACCTAAGGCATACTGTTATAACATTTTGGACTCGGCAGGATGTCGGCTTTAAAAGGCACTTCCTTTCAATCTCCTGTAGAAAGCGTGCTCGGTAAAAAATGACTACTTAAGTAGCATGAATTTTCCCATTGATTTTCGATGGTCTTGGAAATGCAAATATATTTTATAGAAACCACAAACAAAAATGTGCTTTCTTTTAGATAATCAATAGAAAATCACGTCTTCTTTATAGTTTATACTTAAGGAAGGAGTATAATTAGATTTTAAAAAAGTTTCCAATTATTAGACTTTTGAAGACCGCGATATGTCCATTCACATAGCATCGCACCTCGCCGTTTACCACTGCTCCTCATGAAATGTACAACATGGTCCGCATCCATTGCAAAATTTTATGGACCCTGTATAATATCTCTTTAATGGCATAGAAAAATATGGGATTTTCCTTACGCGGAACGCATGCACCTTGTAGAGTGTAATCACTAAGCGCTAATGCACCGAATGATCAGGCTCCAAATTTTTCGGCAATTAGAAAACTTTTTTAAAACCTAATTATACTCCTCTTTAAAGTATAAAATATAAAGAAGACGTGATTCTCTATTGATTGACTAAAAGAAAGCACATTTTTTGTTTGTAGTTTTTATAAGATATCTTTGAATTTCCAAGACCATCGAAAATCAATGGGAAAAATGCATGCTACATAAGTAGTCATTTTTTACCGAGCACGCTTTCTACAGGAGATTGAAAGGAAGTGCCTTTTAAAGCCGACATCCTGCCGAGTCCAAAATGTTATAACAGTATGCCTTAGGTTAATCAGTATCACAACCGCGACCAAGTAATCCTTCCTAATCGAAAACGTATTTCAGAATTTCAGCCAACATTTCATGAGATAGGTCACGCACTGTAGGTGACAATCTTGTATGAGCACCCTTGTCATTCGCCGGCTATGAAGAAATATCGTTTGTTTAGCCAGTTCCGTGTTGACAGGAGGCTTGTAAGAGAGGCATTTTGGCATTTATGGCACTCTTTCATACCCTCCCACCTGGGCTTGTTGTCATGGCAGAAGAGGGAGAGGGCGCAAGTGGCTGGTGCGGCATAAACCCGAACAGCGGCGTGCCACCACACCCGCAGCCTTGGCTGTGGTAGAGAGTGTTCAATTTTGGCCTGGTAGTGCGTTCATCGTTTTATCCGCAGTGCATTATCATTTACAAATGTTTTAACTACTGCTGATAGAAGCGAACAGGTGAGTTACAGGTAGCAGTTCAGAAGACGAAAATGCGATCATTGTAATAAGAAATTGATTGGCCTGACGTTTCGAATTCTCACTCGAATCCATCATCAGAGACATTCGCAGATAAAGGTGGTGGTGGCACAAGGAGTGCAGTATTTGTGGCACGCGGCTGCCGTGGGACCATATCCGACACTGTAATTAACAGCTCTCGCAATCACCGCTGGGATCGTAATTGATGCGGCGGTGACTTGTCAGTCCGAGCGACAAATACGACGCAAATTCTGAACTTCAGTAGCAAAGACCCGATCAGACACAAACGCAGTTGCGTAAGGGCGATATACCGGCGCGTTAAGACGCCTTGCAGTAAAATGGAAGACAAGGTTGCTGAATTACAATATCTTCAGCGGGTAATGAGAGCCAATGGTTACCCGCGCAACTTTGTCAACCAGTGCATACGAAAAGGACACCAGAGGCTAACTCCAACCGGCCCCAACTTCTGGCGGGCTCTTCCGTGCGTAAAGGACGTCTCGGAGGCCGTCAGTCGTCTTCTCACTCCACTTGGAGTTGGGGTTGCACACAGGTCGGAAGCGACCATTAGGCGCCAAGTCATGAGGCCAAAAGACCCGCTGCCACAGCAGGAAACGTCTTGAGTCGTTTACCGGATCTGGTGTAGTTGCGGACAAAGCAACTATGTCGGAGAAACTGGGAGATTACTCCGTACGCGAATTGCCAAGCACGCAGCAGCAATGTGGCGGGGAGGCGCTGGCTCTCAGGTGGCGACACACTCGACGGGACTCGGCCATATTTTCAAATTTCAAGAGGCCGAAATCCTGGCAAGGAGTGACAACTGCGTGAGCCGCGAGCTACTCGAGTCGTGGTTCCCAGGCACACAATCCATCAACAAGCACAATGACCTCCCGGTACCACATTCCGTGCTGAGATTTTCCCTGGGCAGGGGAATCAGTCAAGTGGAGAGTGCGCGGGCGAGCAATTATCCCAGTGACAGTGAGCCAGTTTGCCGAGCAATCGTCACACCAGCATCCAGCACGGACGACGAAATCATGGCCATTAACGACTCGGACTCGGACCGACAAACCACCACCGCATCAATTTCGACCCCAGCGCTGATTGCGTGAGCTGTTAATTAAAGCGCGCATATCGTTCTACGGCAGCCACGTGCTATAAATACTGCATTCCTGGTGCCGCCATCACCTTTATTTGCGAATGTCTCTGATGATGGATTCGAGTGAGAATCCGAAACGTCAGGCCAATAAATTTCTTGTTCCAGCGATCGCGTTTTAAGTACTTTTCGATTGCCACTCGCGCGTCTACGTGAGATGGCATTTGGGTGTTTGCAAATCGAAGATACAGACTAGAACATATGAAGAACATTTCAGCTTTTATCCAGGACTGACCAGTTCGTTCGTTCTTATGTGGCCTCCATTACCTCCCAAAATATGGCGATTTTGTCGAGTACAGAAAATATTTTTGTAAATGACAATCTCCAATGACCGATTACCTCAGTTATCCTAGGCAATTCGATCCATCTAAAGCTCAGACGTCTTTCTTCGTCCTGAATTTGACGTTGGGGACTGCAGTCCATTCTAGCACGACCTTTTTTAGTTTTCAACGTACCAGATATAGCGTGTGAAACGTTGATGGTCACATTGCTGTCTTCGAATGTGATTAGAAAGCATTACCCATAGTTTGGTATGGTGCATATATTTAACATCAAGTTCTTTTTGACACGTCTTGACCGACTGTTTATTTGGCCAGCCACCGCACGCATCACATAGACAGTCGATCCGAACCGTCCAGCAGTTACAAGTTAGGCTGGCAAGGATGAGCCCATATTGACATCTTGAAGACATCTGGCTGGCATGATCATGTTTACTCTCCTCTGGTCATTACTGATGTTGAGGTTCCCTCGCGCCGCTGCCTACACGGACAAAACCGCTGCAATTCGGATTTGGGGTCCGCCACTGTCAACAGACCCATAGTATTGACAGCTCTATAGTTCTGGCCCACATACAGGGTTGGCGATCATGTTTTTTGAGCGGGTAAGTATACTTATACTGTTCTCAAATTTATCGGCACCCACAGAGTTGTTTCTTGAGGACTGCCTCGATTGTGCCATGCGATGTTGTTTTAGGTAGTCGAGGAGCTCAGCAGCAGGATCTGTCTGTATGTAGTCTTTGTGGTAGGTTTGTCGATTTCTAGTTTGTCTAACGAATAGCTGATGTTGGATAATCCATTTCACTAAAATAATCGGTGTTCATTCTTTGCCCCAAACAAATGTCGGGTCTTTGTACAAGATGGCAGGCAGCCACCGAATGGGTTAGCCCTCTCCGACGATGAAGTATCCGACACTGACAACACAGCTAGCCATGTCTTCGTGAGCGTTAAGAACTCCCTAGTATGAACTTGGAATCCTCCTTGCAGGATTTCATTGAAGACGGATGAATTTCTGACTAGTCTGTGAGATTCATATCGACCCAACTGTGAAAAAGTCGGCGCCTCGGTGGGATTCGAACCCACGCAGTAAAGGGAAGGCTTTAGTACAGCCAATGTTCTAACCACTTGAGCTACGAGGCCCCGCCGGACGACTCAATTTTAATCCCGCTTGGATCAATTTTACCCGCCCAACCTACTGCAACGTCTGGAATCCACCAAATATGATACAGTAAGTTGACTGCCCAAGCAGGATTTCCTAAGTGATTCACCTAGAATCCACCAGATGACTACCAGGCTCACGTAATTCATAGCTATTTTGGCAGATTTTGAAGAATTCAGTA